TTGGAGAAATGTTCGGTAGCAAGGGATGCACATGCACTTTTCTGCATGTTTCAGAAGCCTGTGATCCTAAATGCCACAATGACTATTAAACAGTGTCCTGCCCGTGAGCAAACAGGAGGGAGCAGGGATTGACTGTCTTTTTCATCTGAGCTGCTCACCAAAAACAAAGCATCCGCTGAAGCCACTGACCTTTCACTAACTGCTGGGAGGAAAGTGCTTGATAAATAATAAAGAGACCACTACTGGGTTCTGCTTAGAACCATCTTTTAATTAAAGGAACTGAGCCACTGGAAGGTCAGACGACTGACATTTAAGTTCCAGTCCAGGAAAAGCATCCATCGAGGGTAAAACTAGACCCAAAACATAATTTCATTGTCGGCTAGCATTCCACCAAAATCCCCCCTCTGTAATCTGCACAGATGGAGGGGGACAATGGCTGCTACATTTTGTAAGGGACATAACACTTAACTTCCTGCCTCCTCTGCCTTCCCCTAGCAACCTTTTCATTTTCGTGCCGCAGCAATAAGCACTTGTCTGGCTCAGCATCTCCACAGAAGCTGCTCCAGTGCTGGGCTCATCCAATCAGAGGCCCACCTGCCACACTGAGCGCTTCCCTAGGACTGACAGGAAAGCCATTTCTCGTCTTTTCCACAGGAGAGCAGGTGCCCTTCCTCCACCAGCCAAGGTGACCTCGACCAAGTTGCTCACTGAACCTGCTCAGGCATCCATCTCGCTGAGCAGCCTCGAAGGCTCAAAACGCATGACTAACTAGACGGGCAGTCCTCCACCTTTTGGCTGTTTGGGACTAGAGCTCAGGTGCACGCAGACCAGGAACAAAGTAATAACCTCATCCCCCACCTCCTTACATGACTCACCTTTTCTTGTTCCTACATCTACAGTCCTCTTGCTGAGGCCAGGTTGCATTAACTATCAGAGCCACATCATGTCACATACCCCTAGCTCCTGTGTAGTCAGGAAAACTGCCAGCCTGGTGCTTGGTCCCAGCTGAGAGCCCAAAAGGATGGATGAGTCCCCACACTCTCGAGTGCTCCATCTGGATTCCCAAGAGCAGAAGCCGGCATAGGTACTAGCCTCAGAGAAAATCATATCCCGCTGGAATGACTTTGTTTACAAAAGGAATCCACTGAACATTTTTAAGTGGCAGGCCATCATTTATTTAGAGAAAGGTATCATTTTAACAAACTCAGGAATCCCTTGGAGGCCCAGATTTTTCTGTAATAACATTTTCATTGTCTGAGAACATCACACTAAGTATTATACAAAATTGCAAAAAGAATGGGGCTTGCCTTTTAAGGGCACACAAATCAGCGATGAGGTCTATCCCACAAAAGCAAAACCAGAACTCTGTAACACCTGGTGACTCCAGGACCACTTCAGTGGGCCTCGCTGTGTAGAGATGGAAGATGAGGGGCGTGATTCCTTCGCTGGCTTTCTTGTTCCTCCCGTCCTTTCATTGAGAGCATTTGCCTGGCTCAGCCCACATCTCTCTCTCTATACTCCCCTTGGACAGATCGTTTATTCTCCTGGCTCCAATGCTTCCTCCCCTTCTCCCGACACCTAGCCCACATCTCTACCGGCCACCATCACCTCTAACTCAGTATATTAAGAATGGAAGCTCCCTTCCCTGTTTGTTAGCGATGCTATTGTTCTGGTCTCTCAGGCTTGTGACCTTGGAATCTCAGCCTCCAATTAGAATGGCTGCTCAGAGAACAGTCTCTTCCCGCTCTTGGTGCCCCCTCCCCCAACCACATTCTTTATATCACATCTGGGCAAGTTTGTTTTTTTTTTAATATATCTTTATTGATTTCAGAGAGAGAAAGGGAGAGGGATAGAGATATCAATGATGAGAGTGTTGTCATTGATCGGCTGCCTCCTGCACGTCCCTGACTAGGGATCGAGCCGGCAACCCCGCAACCTGACCCGCAATGGAACTGCGATCTCCTGGATCCTAGGTTGATGCTCAACTGCTGAGCCATGCCCGGCCGGGCTGGACAAGTCTTCCTTTGACCTGAGACTGCTTTCACAGTACTTTCTTGCTCACATTTTTTATACCCAGGTGAACTCTGTGTAGTCATTGAGGTCACCAGGACCAGATCCCATCCTACCTGTTCAAACCTGCTTTCCTCTACTCCTCAAGAGTCATAAAAGCACCTGTCACGTATACTACATGTGAGCTTTGCATTCGTTATGTCCATGAATTCTCACAATACCAACTAGAAGCCCAGTAGACCATGACAGGCATGAGGTCACACCAGTAAAAAGTGGTCAGAACTAGACCCCAGATCTTCAGCCTCGTCTTGTGCAAACTTCACTGTAACCAGGACACGTGCCCGTCAGCTCAGCAAACCCACATGCTTCAGTGGGTACAAATAAGAACTTCTGTCTTTGTTTACACTCTGAAGTGAGAGAGTTACCTCTGGACGGAAGACCAGGTAAATCAGGCAGGAGTACAAACAGTGGACCAGCTGTGCCAACTACAGTGAAGTGAGTGCAGTCTGGAGGGGCTCCATAAGGGGCTTGAGACTTGAACATTAGGTAAAACTTCTGAGCAGAGATACCATTTGAAAAGGACAGTGAAGGTAAGGCTTCTAAAGACAATGGTGGCAGGGAGTGCTCCTGGCAGAAGCAACAGCATGCACCGCTTCAAATCCCACCCACCCTTCAAGGCTCTCTGCAGTGTTCCTAGACTAGCCCATGGCCGATCTCTCTCCCTGACTCCCGACCATACTTTCATATCATGATGTAAAAGGATTCCTGTTCATCTTATTGTTCTGAAAGTCACTCTGGTCCTCCCAATTAGGTTTTAAGCTCTTTAAAGGCAAGAATGAGGTTCCACTTCCATCGTCTCCAAACAACAGTGTCCGGGAGCTGACGGCTTTTGCCCAGCTGACAGTGGGAAGAGTTCAGAGCTCCCCAAGTAAACCTCACACCTTTCACTAGGCGTTGGTCCCGGAGAATCAGCCTAAAGGTGTGCTCTGAGGGATAGTCTCTCCCTCCTACCAGGCTTAGGCCTTCCCCACGAGAGTCCCAGTCCGGTTTAACACGATCAGAATGTACAGGGAGTGGGGAGACAGGCGATCTCGTTCACTGCTGGCGGGAGGGTAAGTGAACAGATTCCATGGAGGACAGTAACAGGATTGAAGATGCGCTATTCCTTCACCCAGCAACGCCACTAAGAACGCAGCCACGGCTATCCCAGCCTATCTACAGCACGAGGAAATACAGAAAGAACACTTCAGTCAACTGGGCACTGATTAAATCACTATGCACCCGCACCCACACAGAGACCTCTGAGACACAGTAAGAGGAAAAACAAGGCACAGAACAGTGCCCATAGTATCCCTGTGTATATTCCCAAAACATTTCTGGAAAGGAAATGGTGAGAACAGTGGCCTTGGGGGAGAAATAAATGAGTGGCTGGGGGACAGAGGTGGAAGGGAGGCTGGCTTCTCGCCTTTAAACTTTGAACCATGTGTATATATAATTTTTTAAAGAATGCAACAAGTAGCTTTTTCTCTTCATCATTTGAGAAACTGCCCTTTATTCATTTATTTCTAATATTCTTGTAATGTTTTATACTTTTCACCATACATTCTTCTCAGATTTATTCATATGTATTTCCTATTGATGTTGTTACAAATGGTATTGCTGTTAATTTTAAAAATAAGAAACGGTCCTTTAAACCAGAAGCATAAAGGTTAGAGAATGAGTGACCCCTGACTGTTCCTCTGAGAACAGAGCCTCTCCTCCACCTGCTTAAATACCCCTCCCAAGGCCGGGCCCAGTATTTGGAACCCAGTGGTTGTCTAATGTTGTTGAATGGGTGAAATGCATTTCCCCATTCCCAAAACAAGAGGAATTGCAGAGATAACGGTTGGGGGGGGGGGCAGAGAAGCAGCACACCTGTGAATTGCTTTTGCCTTGTGTACTCATTCACCTTGCATTATCTAAGCGCGATGTGCAAGGTGTACAGGCTGAGATGTGTGCCCCACCCTTAGTCTACCAGGAGACAGAAGCAACTGTACACAAAGAACACAGGGTAGAAAAGCTACGCGAGTTTTAAAATAAGAGATTTCTGAAACAGGTTTCTATTAGTAGCTGAAAACCACTGGCTTGATCACAAATACAAAGGTGACAATCTTGGAGCAGTATGTCACTTATTTAACAAAAGACATGGAAATGAAGAAAGCAGGGCAGTTGGTTAGGACTAGTAAGCACACCTGAAACCAGGGAGGCAGGTGGATGCTGGTGGAGAGCATCATCTGAATTGGCTGGCCCCCTCTTCGCAATCCAAGAGATGTCATTTAGACTCAGCCCAGAGCTAGATGTAATTACTCGTTCATTCAGCAAAGTGTACTATGTGCAGGCCTATGCTAATTGTCTCCAGCACAGTCAATCCATGAGATTAAAGTTATAGTTTTAGCCTTTGGCTATTTTCAATAATAGGTCCTCACTCTTACTGCAAAGCACAAGTCAGCTTGGCCTCTCAAATTGAAGATCAATAGTTCTATAGTAACAAGTATAAAGATTACCTGCACACAGAAACATATGACCGAAGGACCACATTATATGTGTAAGTGAAAGTCTGGTGGATCCAGAGAAGAGAAACATACCAGAGAATCAAAGGTAGCCAGCCAATGCATTGTTTTGTGTTTTTTGATTTTTTTATTGATTTTCTTTTTTTTTTGAGAGAGAGAGGAAGGGAGAGGGAGAGAAACACTGATGCGCAAGTGACACATCGATTAGTTGCCTCCTGCACGGCCCCAACTGGGGATCCCGGGGATGGAGCCAGGAATCAAACCAGCAACCTTCCGGTGCACAGGACAACAACACCCAACCAACTGAGCCACACAAGCCAGGGCACTAGCCCACATGTTAACACCAAAATCCAAGCAAACCTACTCAGAATGAGTCCCATTCAAACAATACTTATAAAGGTTTCCTCATACTATTTATAATTTTAAAGTAAATTTACATTATAAGCAGCTAGGGAATTCTTTATTTAATACCATCTAACATAAAAGTTCACATAACTGCTTCTTTCAAACCATGATACTGAGCTTTATGACCACCTAGCAACAGGAACTAAAAGGCAAACATAATGCCTTAGAGATCCAGAAACATTTACACGACTCAACTGTTAAAAATCGTTCAACATTCATCTAGTGAATACAGCTTAAATGTCAGTATATGTGGTATACAAATTCTTCATGGAGGTGAGAGGCCTTTTGACTGCTCTTCAGGGGGCTCCGAGTGCTGGTGCTGTGGAACTTCTTTCAGAGGCTCTTTTTTTCCCAACACAGTTTGGAGTTTGACACCCGTGGGTTCAGATTTCCCGGAAATGTGACTACTGTCCTGTTGCTTAGAAGACCAGACATAAGTATGTCACACAGATGTTACCATTTTCACACTCAAGTAGTTGGCTGAAGCTGTATGACTTAGGCACATTCTATCACTGAGTCAAAAATTTAACGTTCATATTTCAGGTCAAATTCTACTACAACAAACAACAAACATGATAAAAATCTCTACAGCAGCACAATTCCAAAAGCACTCGTGACAACTCACTTGTTCCAAGTCTCAGTCATAACCACAAAATTCCAGTATATTCCATCTAAGAGTATTTGACCTGGAGTTTAGGAACATGAGCTGAGGTTGGGGAAAGAAAACCAAGCCTTCCTTTAACCTGTGACAAAGAGACCACTAATCCTAATAACAATTTTGGTAATAAAATACTCACAGCTCTTGCTTCTCCTACTCTTCTTAAAATGACACCTTCTGCCAATAAAGCCTTCCCTGTTTCCACAAATAATTTCTCTTCATCTGTTTCTCCAAGCTTCTGTAGCTCCAAGTACTTCTCCACAAACCTGGAATTCCAAGCAGTCAAGCCTTAGGGCTGCATACTGAGAGCTGTTAAGACGTGAACTGTGCTACACAGTTCAAAGCGCTCCCTTAACAGACGTTCCCATAGGAACACTGTTCTCTAGTGCAATTCAGCAAAATAATTCAAACTGATAACTAAATTCTTAAAAATAAAAAGATAAAGCCACCCAGGGTTTATAAAATGCCTTACCGTTGACAGGTAGACTTGAAGTTTGGATTGAAAAGATCAAAAGCTTTCTGACCAGATCCATAGGCTGAATAAAATTTCCTGGGAAATACAAACAAGATGTAATCACGTCCAAGAACACACTAAGAAATAACTGCTAGACCCTAAGGTGTTAAGTATAACACAACCTACCTACATAGCCTGAGCCTAAACAGTTGCAATGATTACCTTTATCTCTATTTCTTAGTGCACCGTGCAAGTAAGTCTTTGGAATAAATTCATAAAAATGGCATTATTGGGTCAAGATATGCGCACTTGTAATTTGGCCTTCCAAATTGCCAAAATGCTTTCCAAAGAAGTTGTGCCAATTTATACTCACACCATTAATGTATGACAGTGCCTATTTCCCCATACCTTGACCAAATATATTTCCAACTTTATGATCTCTGTCAATTTGATAAGTGAAATTAAAGCTCATGGTACTCTTTACTTTTTCTATGAAACAGACTGAACATCTTATCATGTTTAAAAGCAAACTGAATTTCCTTTTCTGCAACTTGTCCATGTCTTTGCCAATTTGTCCATTGGTGGTCTTTTTCTTACTGACTTACAAGCAAACTATATAGCAGTAAAAACTGATAAATTAGCCTTTGTCATACATGCTGCAATTTTTTCCCCCAGTTTATTGGCTGAGTTTTGATTTTGCTTACAGTACTTTTTTAATACAGAATGGCCTCTGGGTTTCATGTCACTCTCACAAAGGACTTTATCACTCAGACTATTTTAAGTTCTCCCATGCTTTCTTCTAGTACTTTTATGATTTCACTTTTTTACATTTAAGTTTTGATACATTTGGGATTTATTTTGTTGTTATAAGTTCTTAAAAATATAAAACACCCCCCCAAAAAAAGCCACAAAGATAAATGTTCAAAACACTATTTAAATACAAGGTGTTATTTTGGCATTAATAGTAATAAAAGAGAGAGCTATAAAATATCCCACATTGTCCAATGACCTATCACCCAGTTCCAACTGCTAGCCACACAAATGATTTTAATGTATAAATGAACCTGGAAAGTATGCTGACCACGTGCATCTAATGGCCCTGAGCAGAAAAGTGTTGAAAAAGAATTTAATGCCCCAAAGATCTTGTGTCCTATCCTGAAAATTTCCAACTAGAACAAGAACATACCGTACTCCCACCTCAAAGGGGGGAGAGGGGTCCTCAAATGAAAGGTGCCTGGACCTCAATAGAGAATATAACCTTGTAAGTTCTGTTGTCTTACTTCCAGGAAGAGGCGAAAGGATAAGGAATACATATTAACTTCTATTAGGCACAACCTCTGATCTTAACATTTAAGAGAAAAGAACCCATACAAATCCCCGGTACTAGACCTGACATAAGTATTTGAGGGGAAAGGGCCTTGTCAGTGAATTCCCAGTTTGCTGACCTCCTTAAGCCTCAGGGGCCACAAGACTAAAATGAAAAGGACACCTAGCTTGCAGGGTTAGAGTAAGGCCTAAATGAGATGATGTTTGTTAAGTGCTGAGCCCGGTGCCCGCTGCAAAACAGATGTGCAGAAACAGGCAGCTATAATTGCAACCATCAGTCGCTGCTGGGCTCCATACTCCTCATAATTTCTGTTTCTCTCACATGGGGGAGGGCACTCGTTCCCTAATTTTGCTAATTTTACAAGCCCTTCTCCACAGGGCAAGCCCCGACTCAATTCCTATTTAAGATATCAGCTCTGCTGCACCCTACGGCACTCACGCTCTGATCAGGTCCTCGTGGTAGAAGATGTCCTGGACGGGCGATTTGGCTTTGCCGTATCGCAGGCGGGGCCTTCGGAAGACCGGCTCCCTCAGCGGGGGGAAGGCGTTATAAACGTCAAACCAGAGGGGCTTCTCCTTCAACACCCCGGCCCGAATGAGGTCCCGAGTCCTTAGGGAAGGAAAAGAACGAAGGTCGGTCAGTTACAACAGCCTGTCTCAGCCCCTGAATCGGTCTAACCACAGTCTGGGACATCAGCGTGACCACGGAGTCCGCGCAGAACCGGGAGGAGGGCAGAGCAGGGGGGTTCCCCGCTACAGCTAAGAGACTTCCATCTTCCAAAGCAACCTGACCAAGCTCAGGCGGTTCAAGTCCTATCTTCGTATGTGCGTCCCACCCTCGCCCCATTCCCGTCACGTCAAGTGCAAAGACTGTCCAGCCAGGCCCACCGGCCTCTTCCTCCCCTCTTCCTAGAGGCCTCCACTCGGTGAAGGCAGAGGTGCAGTCCTGAGCGAGAAAGACAAGAAATTCAGGGGGTGCCACGGTCCAGCACAACCATTCAGAAGCAGGAGAGCGCAGAGACGGGCCTCCCGGCTCAGACACCGCACCCTGGGGAATGCGGCGCCCTGCTCACACCCACCCGCGCTGAG